AAGGATTTAGGGGTAGTGAAAGCTTGACATCTCCCAAGCATGGAGAAGAAATGGAAAGTTGCTTCGATATGCAGCAGCACATCTTAACTGCAAAGCCTGGGTTGAATGTTTTCACCCATTTCTTCCCACCTCCCACAGACAAAAGACATCCCAGACCCTTCCAAGTGCAATGCAGCATCCTAATCATTGCCTCCCGCCACCCTCCCAGCACCTCCTGTGTGTAGCAGAAGGTGCGCAGGGTCAACCTCGTAGCTCCTCCACCAGTTCTGCTGTAGCTGTTCCTCTGCAAAGCCAAGGGGCGAGCAGCCAGCAGAAGCTGCGACTGGCAACACGTGCAACAGGTAGCACAGATCTCCAACGTGCTGGGAAGCTGTGTGCAACCAAGAACGTCTCTTGGGGTATTGCACCAACATCTGCCCACTTTTCTGCCTACAGATTCCCTCTGCTAAGAGCAAATTCAGTGTGACGGCAACAACTCAAGAAAACAAAATGCCTGGAACTTCTAGTGGAAAACACAGTCTGTCAGGACAGTTTCTCTTCCTGCCTCCTTTCCGCTCACCCCAAATGTATGTCTGTAACCCTAACCCTGTCCCCTCCCCCCCATCCCTGCTAGAAACTAAGCTCAGATACTGCAAACACACAGAGGGTTTTTCAGATTTCCACCCACGCAAGCACATGTGAAATTGGTTCACGGCGGTCAGGGGCAGGAGCCCATGTTTCCACTTCTAGCTCTACTGGGCTTAAATTTTATCATTTGTTTGTTTTCAAAGCAAAAAAATACGCAACTTACTTTACTTCACAGGGGAAGAAATCTTGGCAAAGCATCTTTTCCACTGGCAGGCTTGGGTTACAGCTCCTCCACTCCCACCCACGCAGCTGAACCCAGCGCCTGGTCAGCCCAAGAAGCAGGAGGAAATGAAATGCACATGTCAGCGTCCCCCTCTCCCGCGCCGGTTCCTTAGCGAAACCAGTCTTCTGCTCCGGCCATGGACCGTCCCAGGACCAAAAGATGTGCCAGGGAGGGGGATACTTGCTATATCTTTTCTCAGCCAAACCGTACAGCAAAGTTGTGCTTCCTCAACCTGAAGAAAGTTTTGGAAAGGCCACGTTCTAGTAGTTCACAGCACAGAGTTTTCACACCGAGGTTCAGAGCGATGTCATACACAGGCAAGAGCTTAAATATAACGAAAGTAATATTAAAGCTCATTAAAAATGGACAACAATACTGCAAACTCCTTAAAGGAAACGATGCTGGTCTGATTAAGCAAGTGCTAAGTAACAAATATAACTGGTTGCAAGTTTAAAAAAAAGCTCTATCATTTCCATCTGTAGGAATAGTTTCCTTAGAGATATTTTTTCCCCTCAGATTCCTTTTTCCCTTCTCCTTGTTTGAACAAAGAATGTAATACTAAGCATGCTGTCATCATTTCCCTTACACCAGTAGTTTTTGTTTACTGTTTATCTGGATACTTCTGTCCTTACAAAAGTTTCCTGTATTCCCTATGTTGCTTAAAAATAGTGTCTCTCATTTAAGACTGCGTTCCACCATCATCTCAATACACAGCTCCAAGGGAAAAAAAGAGCAACAACTAGCCAAAGTTAGAAATATGTTATTCTCTTGTTAGGAGATACAAGAGGACGATTTTGGTTTTAATTTATCCTATTTCAATTAAGTGCAACACTCAAAGTGAAGAAAAAGCTAGCAATGCAGCCTGCAAACATGAGCTACAATTCACTTTTAAAGCTGGCAAGCAGAGGAACAAGGAACTCAACTTCTGAAGTTATTTTTCCACAAATCAAGCAAAGGCGAGAGGCTTATTTTAACATAAGCTTTAAGTTACTTGCATCAGGTTTCATTTGCAAAGAATCTAAGAGGAAGTAACCATTTATAACCCAGAGTAAATCAAAGCAAAACGGCATTTTGATAAACACCACAGCCTATCAATCACATGGAGGCACCGGGTCAGGTTGCTGAGGAATTTCAGAGCCGCTACAGCAGCTCCAGTGGAGAAGAGCCAAGGGCCTTTAAGAAAAGCCATCCCAGAGGTACAGATGCTGCTGCTGGCTGCGGGCACGCGGCGCAGCATCCACAACCCGGCACCGGGGCTCCCAGCTGCCCGGCAACGTCCATGAGCAGCCAGAGCATTGCTAGAAACACATCCAGGAAGGGGAGAACAAAAGGGAAGCAAAACCCAAGACCAAGCCATGCTAGGAAGGCTCAGTGTAATTCAGCTGCCCGTTTCTTCTCAACAGCGTTGCTGGAAGCCGGGTGTCTGCATCAGCTGGCTGTTCAGACTGATGAAAACTGAACCGATGTTTATAATCGAGATGAGAGCTCTGTTAGAATTTTTCCCTAATGGTATGGTTCAACACTGAAAAGAGAAAGGCAAAGAGATTGTGAGATGATAAATGCTACTATCGTGCCGATTGCATGTTAAAGAAGTTTCAAGTTTTCGTTAGGGAGGGTGGGAGGGCTGCGATACTTCAAGTCTGCGTACACCACCGAAGCATTAAACCTCTTCTGCGTGTAACAGAGCGGATAATGGATGTGCAGGGGAAAAAAGGGCGAGTGGTAAAATAGAGCTGAAACTTTATCATCGCTTCTGCTTGTGAGCAGATGCAGAAGGAACACGACGAGCATAATATTTGGTAGCCTGCGTAATTACAACAGATGTCTACGTTGGATTAAGTGTCCTGTGCATTAGGTATACAGAGTCTAACATTTATAAATGAAAAGCAAGCAGCTTCTTAATATCAATTTGCTTATGAAGGAGGAGACAATTTATCTGGTGTTTACTACTTATAGCTATACTTACAGCGATATTCATTGCACCCTTAAAGAAAATTCAGATCTACTACCTTAAGCAAAGTGGGCTTCAAAAAACTGGATGTCAGACTATACAAATAAAGTATTAGTTTAGGCATGGTAGACTTTATTTTGGCACTTTAACAAATGCTTTATTTTACAGCAGTGGCACAGCATTTGCCAGAAATTTTCTTTTCTTGGCACAGTTATTTCAAGCAGTTATTTTACTAATTGAATTTCACTAAATATTGCACAATAAGATATACCTGTTAAATTCTTACCCTGTTTTTACTTGTTGTACTTGTATGGCTTTGAAAAACTTGCCAGTAAGTATAAGTAATTTAAAAAGCAATATATTAAATATTTTAGCACAGGATAGCGTTCGTTTGTTCCTACATGACCACTGAACTTGGGACAGCAACAAATACAAGTTACGCAACTCTTATCTGAAGAGCTACCAGATCTTATTTACAATACATCGCCATTTCTGAGAAGCAGTTCAGCTTGACGTCCTGAACACCTATATGTGGAAATCTCAAAAATAAAAAAGGAGGAGGTTAACAGAGCAGAAGACGAAGCCATTTGTCTGTTACAAAGCATAATATAAGGAGGCAGACTATCGTCTTCTCCACGTGCCCCTCTATCCAACACCTATCTGCGGTCTAAGCAACAGAGCCTTTTCTCTTCTACTCGGAATATTTCTTTCTTCTCTTATGAAGATATTCCACTTGTCTCAACTCTTCTGCTGGAGTCGGAGCAGAATAAACCAAAATTCTCCAAAAGGCCAGGCAAAAAACAAACCAGAACAACAAATCAAAAACCGATATACACAATAAATGAAACCGGGTACTCCTTTGAATTTTACAGTACGGAAAACAACATTTGCAGGAAGAACAGGTCTGTGTCAACACTGCCATTAAATATAATGCAAAGGTCGAATGACTCATAACTCATACACAAGATGCAAGACTTAAATATTCCCACTTTTCTCAGCAATAAATCTGGACCGAGGATCAGCCTGATCAACAGCCTTTTTTTTTCTTTTTTTGGTCTCGATTTTTAAGATCTACTGGATGTACTCCGTGACAACACATAAGCAAGTAGACATAAAATGAAAAGCATATAAAAGTATATCACAATGGAATTCTCAGTATTAGGCCACATGATTTATTCAGTAGTGTTTATGTTCCCAAATTACAATTATGTCTATCCATGTAAGACTACAAAAGTTACCATTAGAATTGTCTGTGCTTATAAAATACCAACATTTTCTTTTACTGTTATATACTCATTAACACCAGTCTGCGACGAGTTACATATAATCATAGGCACTTCAAAGGCTTTAAAAGACGTTTACAACTTAAATGCATTTTTAAAGAACAAAAATTTAAACCCCTACTTGTACCTTCAAATTGCAAATAATTAACAAATACAGTGGCCATAGAAATCTGCAGCAACTTCTCAAAATACTGTTAAGAGTCTTTGGGTTTGCTTAGGTTTGTCAGTAGCTTACTCCAAATCTTCCTTACAGGAGATTTGTTTAGTAAGAATACGACTATACAGTTTGTAGTAATAATCCAATTTTACACATTAATTTGCTGTTACAAATCTCACTGAAGCTACAGGTACGCTGAGAAACAATGCAAAGTGTAAAATTGATATTCTGACACTTAAATTTATACAAAGTGGAGGTTAAAGTTTACATAGCTGAAAAATTACATTTACACTAAAAGTTACTGTTATCTGAATTATCTGAAGACAAATTGCACCATGACAACTACAAAAAGGCATTTTTTTGGAAACAGATAAATTAATGAAATAAAAACTAACTTGTAAGATCAATCTGAGACATGCCGACAAAAATTAAACAACTTTCATTGAACCATAGGATAAAACAATAATTTTCATTATTTTATATTTATGCATAAAGTTTTAAAAATGATTCGGTGAACATCAATGGTTTTATAAAATAATGCTTTGCCACTGTTATTCACAGAACACTGCAAATGTTAAGTTTTAATTTTACATTTTAAAGGAATACATGAAAAGTTTTAAATACAATGGGATTTTATCATAAAGGTGCCGTAATGGCTCTTTAATGGAAAAAAAAAAAAAAAGATCTTCATTATTCTATGCAAAAGCTTTATTTAAAAAAGTTCAGTGATCTCATAAATAGAGACACTAAATAGGAATTTTATGCATAAAACTCCTTAGTAGGTGCCTTTTGATAGGCAGCACAGGATGGTTTACGTTCACCAAGGTCGTAACTGCCTTCATCCTTCTTTCTCATGCGATATACCAGCAGCAGGATAAGGAAGATTGCGAAAAGAAAACCGATAACTCCGCCAGCAATAACAGCTGTAATCAAAGAAACCAAGATTCACAATATGCCAGGAAAACAAGTTTAGCACCGCGTTTCTCATCTCACACAATGAATTTGCCGTGACTTTCAAATTACAGAAAAGGGCTCCCATTATGCAAGTGTCTCGATTATTAGTATCCTGAAACATATTCTCAGAAAGCCTGTTTGTGTTTATGAAGGCAATCATTTAAAAGGACATTCCACCTACGAGTGCGTGATCCAACAGCCCACAGTTCTAAAAAAGTTACTGAAAATTTTCCAAAACCTCAATTAAGAAAGCCACCCATCCTGCTAGAGCATAACGTTGTCTTCATTTATAATAATAACAACATTTAAGTTTCTTTCAAACTCATTTTTCAACAGTTACCATTTTCAGCCTTAAAAGAACTGGTTTGCTGCACTAGCTAAGAAATGGGTTTTCTCTTTTCTCCATCAGTTTTCACTCTGACTCTAGACTGAAATGCATTTCCTATTGATGAGTAATCGGAAAGAACATTTCATGGAGCTGTAGTAACAGAGACATTACATTCATCGTGCACTTGCAAGTGTGTAGAAACTATCAACTCCAACTAACTTCAAGAGCACACCTGGATGCTTCCACTGATGCGGATATTAAGGCTATTTCACATTTTGGTGCATAGAGGAAGACACAGTCCAAAACTGTGTGACCTTCATGGCTCCCAACACCCCCTCCAAGGACACAGGGGAAAAGTATACCTGTAAATGCTGGTCTTTGCCAAAAAACCCTCACATGTAGGAAAGCCACTTAAAAATATTGGTGGCCAGCTTGTGCCTCCCTGGCTTATGCATGGAAACAGACCCTCTGTATCCTAAGGACAGCGCTCGTCCATCCCTCTCCATCCACCCACCCCTGCTGTGAGTGCCTCCCAGGCACTGTCCATCTGCACCAGATGGACCAGGCAGCGATGTGCTCTCAGGAGCGTGGGTGAGAAACACATTTCCGCACCACAAGCATCAATCAAATTGCAACTCCCTTTCCGAGCTGTGGAAGCTCCAGATATTCAGCAGGCAGTATTCAACTTGGGGGCGTCAAATCAATTAGCGAGACTTCACTATTAAATAACACCAGAAGATGCCTGTCTCAAACTCATCAAATCAACCACTGGCTACCCCCACCAATGTGTTTAAGAATCCATCAAGAAAACACAAAAGTTGAGTTTGTATTATTTGTCAAGGATCCTCTCTGTTTTCTATGGTGTTTCTGGCGAGATGGACCTTGGCAAACAACACCTCACCTGCCAGAACTTCTGTTCTCTGGAAGAGGTTTTCTGAATGCTTCTCGGTGAACACGTCGGTGTCGTCCCCTGGCTCATCGCTCTTTTTCTTGGCATCTGTCTCGGGCCTTTCCTCTTTATCAATTTCTTCAGGTGACTGTGGCACAGAAAGGAAAAGAGAGCATCGCTTACAGACAGGGTGCACCGCAAGTCAGCACGGTCACCGCCTGTCATGGGCAGCCACGAAGCTGTGGCTCCACGCGCATACTCCACGATACTCACAAATACAACACATGGGAGGCTTTTTGACCACAGAAAGCTGTGCTAGACATTGTAACTGGATCTGTTTGTTGTCACAATGTCAGAATGAAAAACACTATCCACAAGTTTAAAACCCCCAAAAGTATATTTAGCCAACAGCTGTTAAATATTGCCTGTGTTTAATCAGAGTAACAGCCTCTGAATGAAATAACAATTCTGAAATTAACACATCACGTATGTTGTATTCAGAATGCCTTTGAGGGTAACTTAGCCAATATTACCTAGGGCGGTAGAAGGAAATACTGAAACAGCAAATGGAACCTGGCACTTGTTCAAACTACAGCCAAACCACACAGCATTCTCCTTTGAGAAGGGAAGTTTTATGTAGAATTTTTTAATAACTCTTTGAGAGATGTAAAAAAGGTACAGCTGGGGCTTGAAGGTATCATGAGAAACTGTCCTGCGTATCATGAGATAATTCTTTTTTGCATCTCTCTTTTCCTTCATGTGAAACCCAGACGTCCCTACACAGACTTTCTAGTAGGAATGAAACTGAGCAGCTCTGTATTCATGTAACAGGCTGCGGTTGCATTAAATAAAGTTTGCGGAGGCTTTTTAATCCGTAGAAATCAAACAAAGTTAACATCAAGCTACCAATGGGGTACAGCAGAACCATGGTAAATGGTATTGCTCTCCAGCCACGTACCTTTGTTTGTGCAGGCACCTTGGTCTGCATTTTCACCGTGGTGGTCTCAGCCCTAGATGCATCACTAGTTGTCGGTAACTTTGGAAGTGTTCTGGATGTTGTTATCACTGCACTATCCTCATCTTCTTCAGCACCTAAAGACAAAAAAGGTGACATTTCATTGACCTGTGAAATTCTTCCAGATCAATTACATCTTTTATTATGACACCGAGGTAGGGCTGCTTGCACAGCCCACCCTAGGCAAATGGCCTAGACGACAATGCCTGCTAAGACAAAAGACGCAAGTGCAGACGAAGTGCCCCAAACTGCCAGGGGAATATTTGCCCCAAGTGTTCCCATGGAAGAGGAAGGGAGGCCATCAGCTGGATTAAGCGGTAACCAGGAAATTACGACGATATTTTTGAAATACAAGGAATCATCCTGAAAAGAAGTATGAAAAAAACATGAACACTTGTAATAGGGAAGAGACCCTGGAGTGGAGGCAGCAGCCATCAGGGCTGGTGTGTTCCTGTCTGATGTGGCCTGTGGCACCAGGGGCTCTGCTGGGGCTTAGCAGCACCACCCCCACCCTGTGGGTGCCCCCAGTGACCACCTCCAGCTCTCCACGGGGAAACCCCCGGGACCTGCACCCCTGGGCCATAGGGTCACCTCCTGGGGGTGGCAGGAGGTGGTGGGGCCCCGGGATCACATGGGGCTGGAGGCACCTGCGTCCCCCACAGCAGAGGTATGTGGGCAGGGGGTCCTGCACACCCAGACGAGTGGGGCTTGCACACCCCACAGCCTGCAAGAGGGATGCGTGTGTGCGTGTGGCACATGTTGGGATCATGTGCCCCCTTATACAACAGGAACTAAAAATTCGTAGTTGCATAGTACCATTCCGTAAGTGGCTGGTATTGTGGTTGTCTGTTGTATTGCTGGTATTGAGCCCAAAACTATAGTTCAATGACTGCCAGTTAATTACATATAAATAAATTAACAAAAAACCTGCTTTGATCCTGACTTGACTTAAACTACATAAACTGAACAGTTTTTCCCTGTAACACGCGGCTTCAACAACAAAATCTCTCCTCTACAGCAAATCTGTTAAACCCTTAAACCTAAAAAGCCAAGTAGTTTCTGTCTACAGGAAGCTTGCTATTACTTTATGTTCCAGTCACTAGGAATGCACATGTTTTTTAAACTACACATAATTCAGAAGCCCTTTTCTTTCAAAATAAAGAGTACAGAAAACTCCCTAAAGATGACCTTAAATTTAATTTCCTCCACATTCAAAGCCCTGCCTGAAGGCTCCTTTAGAATAAGATAATGGACATATCTAACAAATATCCTTTGGTGATACTGGAAGGGAGAAGACACAGACGACAGACTAAATTATTGCAAGACCTGAAAGAGGAAAAGAATCAACCTCTTCTTGGACCACTCCTTAGGAATCTCAATGTGTTCAGCTCATTACAGACACCAGTTACCCAAGTAACTACTGGGTAATAAATCCAGCAAATGTGCACAAGAATAATTCCTAACAAATAAAAATATATCCTCTTACAACAGAATAGTATGACTCACTCATTTCAAACTGAGTTTTTATCTTAGTTTTGTAGAGAGAGAAAACAGACTGAAAATCTGAGCACAATAGCAAAGTTTTGAACTCACAGTCAAGACATACATTTGGCATTAGAAGGAATGGTGTTAACAAGACAATAACTAAAACAATTTCTGTAATGTAGAAAAGAAAATTTGGAATCATTAAAAAAAGTACTACATTAAAGCTACCAGCACAGAGTAACACTGGAAAAACCTTCAGATACACAAAAATTACAGTGCAACCTCCAGAATAAGGACTTCACAACATGAGTCAGATATTTTCCTGAAATGCTGCTCAAAGATCAAAAAAACAATATCCTGCTTCAAAACAGAGGTGAGGAAAGGCATCCAACAAGAAAATTTTTCTGGCTTTGCCTCCAGAATTTTCGTTGAGGAATAAGGGCCCAATGGATAGCTCAGCCTACTTTACCTTCCAAAGTTCCTCCAAATTGCGCAAGCCTTTCACAGTCAAGGAAATTAAAATCGATGTTCAGATTAGAGATCTGATAAAAACACACTTTGAGAGTACAGAACTTTATTTTCTTTTTTTTTAATGAAATGATAAGTCCCATTTAATCACAACTGCTCTTCCAAATCCTTAAATGCCGCCTTTGCTACAGGCAATAGTTGTGTCTAAAATGGTGAGTGTTACAGGTCCGAACCAATCTGGCTATGGAAGATGCAGATCTCCAGTCTCTCTACAAATGGGTGACTAATCTAATTCCTGGACTAGTTGCTAGATTTGTACCAAAGGTACCCAACTCTCCTTCTGTACAGCCTCAGGGGAGTCCTGACAATCCCCCAAACACCTATCCTTTAAGCCTGACTCAGGTTCCAGCTCAGATACATCCCCATGGTTCCTGCTTTCTAATTTGCTTTATCCAGACAGTTCTCTGCTAGACATGGAGTAGGTCTAAACAAGGGGAAGGCATTTCCCTTGCTAAACAGATAGTAGTATTCTCAGAATTACCCGTAAATAGGACTGAGAGATCAAAAAAACCTCTCTAATGCTCTAATAGCAATAGCATTTTACATAGTATCATGTTCCCTAAAAGGTAAAAAAAAAAGAGCCACTCCCCTTCCTGAATCCAAATAAGATTGGAAAGAAAAAACCTACAGAGTGTCATGAGCATAACTTCCAGCTAGGTTTTCTAAGAAAAAATGTGAAATGGCTGGAGTATAAGAGCTTACTTCTTCCTCTTGAAAATATCACTGTCTCTTTAGAAGGTTTCTGGATTTGGACAGCTTGGGTGATGGTGCTGGGTATTAACTGCATTGAGTCCCCCTACAAATAGGTACTTCTCTCTTAGTGATGGCACCACAAAAACCCTGCAGTAACTAAACCCATAGCCATCTCTGTGATAAAGAGTTGAGAGCTCTCAATCATCACACACCGTCTTTTATCCACTGCAACTTCTTCAGGACGCCCAACTGCTATCTTCATAGTGGTTAAAATAGCTTTAAATTGTGCTGCAATATCAGAAATATCTAACGTAGCCCTCAGTGATGTGGATGACAGGAACACAAATGCTCTTTCACACTCTTGGTGCTTGAGGAAACTTGTCAGGAAATCAAGACTGTGCCAGCTTAAATTATTGTATACGACAAAAAGCCTACGGTAGTTAGCACTCTTACTTGCAAAGCAGCCAGTGATTAACTCTTCCTACCAAGCAAATCCAATCATTTCACCCTATCTTTTGGCATCGCGTTTGTTTGCTGTTGCATATCGCACTCTGAGAGTACTTTCAGAGTAGTACCAGTACTACCACCACAAGCAAACTTGTCATAAGGTGGGCACACACATCCCCACCATCTTTTTCACACCTTCCATCTCTAGCATCAATGTGACATACACCAGAATGACACATTTTTAGCTGGCTTATCTCACCCCCATTCACATGAAAAGTCCCCAATACAACCCACAATCAACACAGTGTTAGGCAACCAGAGCTGACACTGTAAACGTAATACTAGCACCGTATCAGGGTATTGCAGCTGAAATAAATGGAGACAGTGCAAGGATGTCAAGTGTCTGATAATTCTCACTTGGGGAGGGAAAAAAAAAACCACAACAAAGTTTGAAGAAAGAATAAAAGGAGGAGTCCTAACTATACTGAAGCATAAGATTCTGTCCAGCACAACAAAAAAATACTTTCAAACAGTATCCCAGTAGGTTTTTATGTTAAAGGACCTGGAAAACCAGGCAGTCAATGTCATGAAGCATGCTTGGGGCTGGTGTAGCAGGTGGACAGAAGAAGCCTTTGCTCCAAGCCAATCTGAAAGGCAGTTATGAGTGGGACCTTAGGAAACGGAAAACGAATACGTGCTGTGTTGCCTCCACCACCAGAGGGAAAGTACACCAGGGGAAGCTGTGTCGCCCCACCTGGAGTGCCTGCCAGGCACACTGCCAGTGGGGCCAGGAGCATCCAGCGTAACCATGGCCCCCAGCCCAGCCTCTCCCATCACCCAGCCCCATGCCACGCTGCTGCTGGACTCCTGAACTGCCTTCCAGCCTCGGAGCGTAACTTCAGCTTCCTGTTAGGTCAAGAGCCAAAGCAGTTCTGCTCTTGTGTTTCTTGGAGAAGCTCCAACCCCACCACCATAACTTTCCTCCAAGAACAGTCCACAGTCACAATGTCAGTCGAGACCTAGTTCATCCTGAGCTAACCTACTCAAACTTGAGCTGCTATTGACTGAGAAATATTAGGCTAGGGAAAAGAAAAAGGGGGAGGAAAAATTTGCATGAGATTCTGATATATATATATTGCAGAGACTTGTCTACCATCAGTAACTTAAGAGAAGACACAAGAACCAGACAGATAGTTTTCCAAAGAACTTGTAGGTGAATCAGATAGAGATGGTACCTTTCCTTAACATAAGGGTAGTTGCGCTGCTTAGCAGCTACTTCCAGGTACTTGCAAGACCAAGGCTCAGTTAAGATCTTTTATGTCAGAGGAAAAAGTAACAACAGTTATAAAAGCATTTGAAGTTGTATCTAGGGAGGAAAACTATTTTTACTCTTTTATTGTTATGCTATCTACAAACACCAACTCTAGAAAGAGTGATGACAAACTGAGGCATCTCCTCGGAGATGGAGATTGCAAGAAGGAAACAATGGACTAATGAATTCACTGCCGACTTTCTGCTGTTGATACAAGACAATCAGGAAGCAGGCATGGCTCCTTTGGAAACTGTTGACCAATGGATTTGGACTGAACACTTGGGCAAACTCACAAAAGCAGCCAAACATACATGAAGAATAAAGAGGCTATGAAAGGAAAAAAAAGAGAAAAAGCAGACCATCACCTTTTTTTCTCCTTATAAAAAGCCCTCAGCCAACTTCTAGTTTGAAATGTGTCATGCTTATGATGACATTTGTCCATGTTAGCGCTGCTTGCAGACCTGCAAGGGCATTAATGGTGGTGCTGACAATTCCTGTTTGTCTCCACAGGCCTGGTGGCAGCTAACAATTTTCATACCAAGGAAAGAGTCAGCATGTTGTCATCTTGGATCTGTTTGCTTGGAGTGGAATCACATAGCAAGAAAACCAGTCTTGAGTGGGAAGGCTCTTCCTGCTAGGAACACTACATCACTGGGTATCAAGTAGAGAGAGACACATTCAACATAATATGAGGAAAATTGATCATCAGGAGCTCTGCAGGACACTTTCTACTTCATAAAACTGAGATGGCAGTAAGTACAGGATGCGTAGGGTGGAGGGGATGACAATTTGCTTCCCTCTTGAGATTTTTTTCTTAAGTGAATAAAACTGGGCCCATAGATTGCTCAGAAGGATTGTTCAAAAGGATTAGATTTTGGTACTGTCACACAACCTTTCTGGAGGGGCATCCAGATAGTCTCAGTCTACAGCAAGACTTCTCCTGTTTTCTTGCAGGTAGCAAGAGTGCATGTTATACACTCCTGACGCAAGGCAGAGCACAGGGAAATAGAGAAGAGAAAGCCAAGGTGTTACTGTTGGTGAAGTCTAGAGGCAGTTTCTGTCCTTCTGGCTCCAATTTTACCACTGAGATGGGTTAATAAAATCTGAAACCAGTTCTTGTATAGTCCTTTCCACTTCAAAAGCAGGGCTGCATTTTTAGTCACCCATATTAGAAACAGCCAAACTCCAGAGAGGGATGAAAAAAACCCCCAAACCAGACCATTCTCCATACCACTATTTATTGTCAGCCCGTCTCCTTTCCTGAAGCTTACAAAGCCACCAGCATCTGAAGACATGACAGAATGGGATGCTGACCGAAAGGACAATTGTCTTGGAGATCAGAGTTTTCCTTAGACAGTCATGGGAACTGGATGAAATCACTGACTTGTTAATTTAATTTTTTGGGTTTTTTTCAAATGAAATGTTAAATTTCCCCTCAAAGAAGTCTACATCAAGGAGGTTCAATTAAGCCTCTGCTCACAGTGGAACATCAAATTGTCCCAATGGAGGAATCCATTGATGACCGGCAAGCTGGTAACAGCAGATGAGGAGAAGGCTGAGGTACTCAACAACTTTTTTGCCTTAGTCTTCAGTGGCAACCTTTCTCCTCACCCCTCCAGAGTTGATGGACGGCATGAGGGGGACCGGGAGGGCAAAACCCCTCCTGCTGTTGGAGAAGATCAGGTTCGTGACCACCTGCAGAACCTGAACGCACTTAAGTCCATGGGACCTGATGAGATGCATCCCAGAGTCCTGAGGGAATTGGCTGATGTAGTCGCCCAGCCACTCTCCATGATA